ATTCTAGTCACAGTTGATAGATTTCTTGTCACGGTGGATGGATCAGTTGTTATTGTTGGATAGATTTCAAGGAGTTGACGAAGTCGCGTTGTGGATGGCGGGAGGTGTAAGGTTGATGATTTGGATATATCGGAGCCTCGAAAAAACGGCCAAAGAAGCACCAAGATCTAGGGAGCGGATCTTTGGTCTTCATTATCTTCTACAGAAGGCGATTGAGGCATAAATACCCTCATATATTTTATGATCTCTATATGTACTGTTTTTGGCGTAAAGACAGAAGGGGAGTGGAAAGACGGCATTTTATATAACGTTATGCTATAAAGGGCTGTCAAAGTATCAAATGCTTTGCCCAAAGAGGATAGCAGACACAAATATACTGCAAACAAAGCACGAGCAGGGGCTTGTTTTGGCAGGCCATATTGGGCACCCTACCTCGACCTTAATCTGATGTCTTTGAACCATGTTCGAACAGGTTTTCGAAGGTAGAAGGCCTGGCGGCTCCTTTGTACAGAAGATCATCAAACAGCGATTTTCCCTCCAATACTACTTAATGCTACAGTAAAAAGAACCAAAACCAAAACCCACATAACCCATCCGATTAGGAACTGATATAGGTCATAGAAACACTCAAGAATACAGTGACAAAAGAAAATAAATGACACAGGAACAGGCGGCAACGCATCAAGATCTCTCTATGATGTCACTGCGGCAGTTCGATTTGGTTTCGCGAGCCTCGCATTAAATGCCACCCCTCTACTCTAAAATGCAAAAGAAATCCCCTTAGATTCCAAGGGTGAACTCGACACCGACGTCGATATCACGGGCCATCTTGACGACCTTGGAGAACTGGACGGACTTCTCGGCGGCGTTCTGGAGGTCCTCGATGGAGAAGATCTTGAGGCCGGACTCGTTGATCAGCTTGTGAGCCTGCTCCATGTTGGTACCCTGCAGACGGGCAACGATGGGGGTGCGGAGACCCATCTCTTGGACGACGTTGATGAGACCCTGGGCGATGGCGTCACAGCGGACGATACCACCGAAGATGTTGACGAAGACGGCAGAGACCTTGGGGTCGCTAGTGATCAGCTCGAAGGCGCTCTTGATAGCCTGGGGGGTAGCACCACCGCCGACATCGAGGAAGTTAGCGGGGGAACCGCCGTTGAGCTTGATGATATCCATGGTGGCCATGGCGAGACCGGCACCGTTGACTAGATACATGTTAGAATCGCGAGATCTCTATCCAACCAAGGGAGACTTACCGAGGCAGCCGATGTCACCATCGAGCTTGATGAAGTTAAGACCGTGCTCAGCGGCCTTGACCTCCTCAGGATCCTCCTGGGAAACGTCGCGCCACGAGAAGGCCTCCTTCTGACGGAACTCGGCGTTGTCATCGAATCCAAGCTTCGCGTCCATAGCGAGGACTTGGTGGTCGGAGGTCTCGGACAAGGGGTTGATCTCAAGCTGGGTAGCATCGCGCTCCATGAAGCACTTGTAGAGGTTCTGGATGGTGGACTTGGCCTCCTCGATGCACTGCTCAGAGAAGCCGAGGTCGGTAGCGATGGTGCGGGCGATCTCGTCGGTGACACCAACGTGGATGTCGATGGGGGTGGTCACGATGGCATCGGGGCTCTCCTTGGCTACAGCCTCGATATCCATACCACCCTGGGAGGAGGAAACGATGACGGGGCCACGAGTAGTACGGTCCAGGAGAACAGCGAGGTAGAATTCGCGGCGGGCGAACTTGCGCTCGCAAATGTAGACCGAGTTACAGATACGGCCAGCGGCGCCGGTCTGCTTGGTGACGAGCTTGTGGCCGATCATCTGGCCGGCAAACATCTTGGCCTCGGTAGGACTGAAAAGTATCTATCAGTTTCACTGCGTCGGTTTCTTCGATTGGTGAAACTCACGAGTAGATCACACGGACACCACCCTTGAGACCGTTGTCAAAGGAACCCTTACCACGGCCACCGGCGAGAACCTGGGCCTTGATGACGAGGTCATCGTTACCTGGGATGTAATGTTCAGCGGGCGCGTTCGCAGGGAGGAACTTAGGTAGAATTTACCGATCGACTTGGCGATAGCCTCGGCCTCTTCAGCAGTGTTGGCGACCTCACCCTTGGGGACACCGACACCGTACTAGATCTTTTATCAGCCGACTTTGATTTTTTTGGAGCGACCGAAGGGGGAACGCGGTCCACCTACCGACTTGAGAAGACGGGCGGAAAGGTATTCGTGAATGGAAAGGTTACGCTTCTGAACAGCGAGTCTGCTTGAGACGGAGGGCGCCTATGCAAAGTCAGTATATATCAACATCTCAAGGAAGCCGGGCGCGGCCCGATTGACTCGGTAAGAACTCACCGTCGCAGCTCTGTAAGCGGCCGCAATGGGTCTACCGCGGGCGAAGTTGAACATGATGAGAATGGAAAGAGAGGAGAGGAGAGGTGGGTAGGGGAATCAAGATAGCCCTGTGAATGAGTAGGGGAGAACAGCTTTCTTTTTCTCGGGATGACAGCAGTCGCGGTAAACCGGGTGTCGCAGCCAACCACAGGCCGCCCCTTGCTGAGTCATCGGGCCAACGCGAATATCACGGAACCCTGGCTTGTACAGTCGGTACTTGTCTGCTCTTCGTCTCGGCTTCTTTTATGTATGGGGTTTGGAGCTTGAATTCTGCTATTATACGTTGTGTTGAAGATAACCACAACATCCTTGACATCCCCCCTACTTGCGTGCGCCATTTTTGATCTTCCACAATTTGAACATGTTAGTCATGAGCCGACCAAACAGTCCCGACCATGCCCAGCCTCCCGAAAGGAACCAAATCACCCAGCTACGATGTCCTTCCCAGATCCAGGCCTTCCGACCTTGAGCCCAGGGCCACAACCACCGCCAGGGAGCAGATCCATACAGCACTTGAGTAACCACGCTGCGTGCATAGGCAGCATGCGGCATAGCGTCTTTCTGGCTATGCTTCACACGTTGCGCATATTCAGCCTCAATCGGGGTATATAGAGAGTTCGGCTTCAAGGTGCGGTCAATGCGCGCGATTCGCGACTGGACACCGCCGGTCACCACGGTTGTGACATGAACCCTGTTGGCTAGGTTAGAAAGCAAATCTTGGGTTTCGGAATACGTATAACGAACCCGAATGGAGCCAGCTCCACGCGAAGTGTGTCACTGAATGAATGCAGGGCTGCTTTGGATGCATTGTAGACTGATCCAAATACGTATGGCATGATCTAGGAGTGTCAGCGAGATATCTGACAATGCAGTTCAATACTTACTCCGGCGATAGAGCCAACCTGGACAATAGTGCCCTTTGCCTTGATGAGCAACGGCAAGAATGTCTGGCACATGGTGATAACGGCGAAGAGGTTGGTCTCGAACACCGAGCGAACCTCAGGAAGCTCCACTTCCATAGCAGGGACGGTGTAATCTGCGGCAATGAGTATATCTTCGACGCCATAGCTTTAGTTTACATACTCCGACCACTAGTTGATATTAGCCACAAGCACCGCCATGAACAGGAATCAACTCACGCATTGTTAACAAGATAGTCGAGACCCTTGTCGCCGAGTCTCTTCTCGACATCTGCAAAGCATGCCTTGACATTCTCCGGGTCATCAACCACCAAGCTCAAGGTTTCGATACCAAGCTCGGCTAGATCTGATAGGGAGCTAGCATCACGAGCTGTGGCTAGCACGCGCAGTCCATTGCGATGGAATTCACGCGCGAAGGAGTTTCCAATGCCGCCAGGGGAACACCTGAAGCAGATATCAGAGGCAGTCGTTGGTATCTGGCGCGAGTCACTTACCCGGTGATCAGCACCGATCTGCGCTTATCTATCACTCCTGGCATATCTGCAATGAGACAGAGCAATTCAAGAGTAATTGAATTGATTATAACGAAAGAGTCTGTTGTAATTGAAGCTATCTAAGTAGACAAGTTGCTCCATACGAGGTGGAGACTGAACCAAAGTTGCCTCGGCTCTCCTGTTATCACAGGCAAGCCCTAAACCCTCATTTCCTATCTCGGATTTATACTATAAATGTGGCTTGAAGAACAATGGAAGACTGTAGCTTGGTATAATAGAGTCAGAACGCTAATTTTTAAAGGGTTATATTCCCGTAGATCTGCCCAGTATGCAGGGCTTGGTCATTATATTACTTTATACAGTAGTTATACGAACAATCTCCCTTCATGGCATACCAATCACAGCACCGTTATGTTAGGTCGTCAAAGATTGGCACTTCATACCTTTCCTCTGTAATGTAGATCATCTTCTGATATCAGTTCTATGCATATCGAACATGCAGTATGCAGGACGATGATGTAGACGTATGTAGCCCTTTGTCCGGGTCGCTGCAAGGCACCCGAAGCCAGGAATAGCTCCATTTTTTACAGGTGTGGACCTGAATAGAATTGAACAATAACATTCGAGTTCCCCCATATAAAGGCAAATTGGAAGTAATCGGAACATTTACTTTAAGTAGTCGGGGACGTGCCGAATCCCGGGCCCAAGTGGACTGACTGGACGAATGACGTTGGCTCCATAGCCGGATAACCTGTAACCCGCCAGATCCCCTTCATGACGCTCAGTCGATATTATTCTTTGACATCCTTGCTCAGTCCCACCGACATATCTGATCAGCAATAGCCATTGGATGGCCCTATATCCGCCGTCACGGTCCTGGCCGAGACTTTAGGATTCTTGCATCGGGTCCCACATTAATGCGTGTCGATCAGTCTGTTCACGTATCGAAGTACTTTGATCGGCCGCTATTTAATAAGTGAGCCGGCCCTTGACCGCGCATGTTTTTCCTACTGGCGTCTTGAATTTTTCGCCTCATAGTACAGTGTACAGTGTACCCCAGGTTCCACCATCACTCATGATCTCCCGGATCTAGTTCAGGCACACTACTACCCCAGACAAGAAGGTGGCAAGACCCGCCACGCTTCCTTTCAATTTGCCTCTGGTTGCCAAGTCACAACCATACCAAGTCATGGACGACTCCCTGAATGTCCCCAGACATATGAGAAGTCCTGGGGATGACGGCTATCGAACCCCCACCATAGAAGATGCCGAGCGGACCCTCTCGGATTTTGGCATTGAAGATAGTCCAGGTGGCCAAGTGCTGGAAGTTCATTCTACAGCTCTGCAGGAAGTCTTGCAGAGAGCGACGTCGCGGGTTGCCGAGAAATCAAAAAAAGAGGGTAACAAAGAGGCCACTGCCTGTTTCGACCATAATGGCCTGGGAATCGCTGTCAGGCGCAAGCCACCAAGCCGACTTGGATGGAAGAAACGAATTCGCCATGTTACATGGGCATACTTTACATTGACTATGGCCACGGGTGGCTTGGCTAATGTCTTCTATCAAGGTATACAAGACATCCATAAGACTGATACTGTATGTCCACCATTCGCTAACAAACAGCAGTCCCCTTCCAATTTAAAGGCTTATACACGATCGGAGTCGTCGTCTTCCTAATTAATATCGCCCTATACCTCCTAATCTGGGGTCTGCTACTTCTCCGCTTCTACTGTTTCCCCTATACATTTAGGGCATCCATGATGCACCCAACAGAATCACTCTTCATTCCAGCAGCGATAGTATCCTTCGGCACAATCCTGATCAACGTATCCCAGTACGGACCCGAACACGCCGGCCCCTGGCTTATGCGCGCAGTCTGCGTATTATTCTGGATCGACGCTGCCCTCGCCGTCATGTTCTCAGCTGGTGTCTACCTGCTTTTGTGGTCGACGCAGACTTTCACCATCGCCCAGATGACGCCTATTTGGATCTTTCCTGCTTACCCCATGCTCATTATTGGTCCGCATGCTGGTGTGTTGAGTTCCAAGCTGGATCCGTCCGCCGCTCTTCGTGTTATTGTTGGTGGTACGACTATTCAGGGTGTTGGGTTTTTGGTCTCGTTGATGGTGTACTCGGCTTTTATTTATCGGTTGATGACGCAGAAGCTTCCCAAGGAGAATCTTCGTCCTGGTATGTTTGTTTCTGTTGGGCCTAGTGGTTTTACGGTCGCGGGTATTGTCAATATGGCAGCTGCGGCGAAGAGGGCGTTCCCTTCTGATTTTATGGGGAATGGTGCGCTCGCTGCTGATGTGCTGAAAGTCGTGGTTAACTTTTCGTCTTTATGGCTGTGGGGGTATGTACTATTCGATGGTCTTTCTTTGACTGTGCTGATTGGTTCTATCTAGATTGGCAATATTCTTCTTCATCATTGCCAGTGCTGCCCACTGGTCCGCCATCGGACCCAAGCGAATGGACTTTTCCATGACTTGGTTCTCATTCATTTTTCCTAACACTGCATTAATTACCGCCACATTTGCCATTGGTGATGCATTTTCCTGCAAACCTATTAACATCGTTGGTTGTGTGGCCATATTACCCCTTCTTTTGATGTACTTTTTCGTGTGCTATATGATGATTCGGGCCATTGTGATGAAACAAATCATGTGGCCCCAAAGGGGTGAAGATAGGGATGAAGGTGGTTTCGAGATTCTTGCGATCAAGCCTATTGCAGATGCAGATGGAGATAGCAGTGAGAGTAGTCCTGCATGAATGGGGTGCTTTTCTCTTTTCTGTTTGCCCAAAATTTGTGAACTTTGTGCTGGCTGTATTCTTTTTGCAAGGCATATACCCTCTACGGTACCTGATTTACATAGCGTGATATACATTTTTCCATCTATGAATGAAGGATGTGCATTTTCTACCAATTGCCAATCCGTTTGTCTGCTAGCCTTATAATTAACTCTGGTATAGTCCATGAGAGTTGGGAACCCTTCTTGCTTTGAATCCTATGCTGGAAATGGTTACATGAAGCGTTCGACTGAACGTTACATCCATACATGGCACAGTCAGATGGTAGTCCTCCTTCCATACCGATTTATACTCTGTATACCTGACTAGTCTATAGATAACTTTGATTATAAATCAAATCAGCTCTGGTAGTTCAGTGGTAGAATACTACTCTTCCAAAGTAGTGGCGGGGGTTCGATTCCCTCCCAGTGCATCTTTTTTGTATCCTCGAAGGATTATATACTTCTTTTTGCTTCATATATATTCACTCTAGGTTTCTTCCTTTCAATCCATTGGAAAAGTGGCCACGGTTGTGATGAATCAGTGGACTGCCTATTGATGTATCAGATCACTTTTTATTGTAGAATATACAAATCAAATGGTGGTATGCGACCGTGTCAATGTGGTCGACCTGTATTTCTACACGAAAGGTTCGTTCATACAGCAACCGACATCCCTTTTCGAGCAAACAGTATAAGAAAGAAACCGATGTAGCTTTCTCTATGCTATCGAATAATAAATCAATAAAACCTACACAACAATAGACTCGAAAAAAAGCAAAAAGAGATGGATAGGATATTAATGGACACAAAAATTCATGGACTCGCCGGGAATTGAACCCGGGACCTCTCGCACTCTACAGGTCAACAGAATTGAACATGCGAAGCGAGCATCATACCCCTAGACCACAAGCCCGTGTTATTGGAAAGTTGAGCACTCAATCGATTCATGAAAAGAAGGAATATAAACAGAATTCGAAGCAAGTGTTAATTTCCTTATACTGACGCAAGGCAAGAGTTGTTCATGTTCAATTATATAATACCCCTCAAGAAATCAATCGTAATTCTTGATCAAGAAGCAACCAGAGAACAAATTATGCTCTAGCTATCTCTGTGTCCATACCAGTGCATGAGAATGAGCGGAATATTGATAGACCGAACTATGCAATTTAGCCCTAGCTGGAGTTAATGTACGATTGTAGACCTGAGAAACAGGCATGATTCGGATATGATTAAGTGTCAAGTACAACTTTTGGCTCAGGTAGTCGGTGATCGACAGAATGAAGACATGGGTTATGAAGGAGGGATGTTATGAGCATGGTGTTTCCCTGGACTGCTGAGTTAGGTCTAAGTGGGCACACTGTTAATTGCGTTAACCCTGGCCCTGTCCAGACGGAGCTCATGGACAATATTCCCAAGGAGACGATTGCGATGCAGAAAAGTCAAGCCCCTATACAGCATAGGATAGGCACCGTGGAGGATATCTACTCAGCGTTGGGCTGAATGATCAGCCTCTCCGCACTGATACGTCCCTGTCTGAGAAGATCCCAAGCTTTCTGAGCCTGGCTCAATCCCCCCATAATCCGAGACGGAAGCGCGTGCATCTGATCCTCCACCAGTATCTGTTCCAGATACTCCCACCACACCCACCTGGTGAACTCCGCATTCGCCGGGTCCAAGTAATCGTCTAAAAACTGGGCGAAGAACCCAGTGACCCCATCCGGCAGACTCACACCAGCTCTCACACCCATGGTAGATAAAAACGTGCCACCGCCCTGTGCGGCCAAGACAGTGCCGATCGTCCCCTGGTCCTTCGCTGAATCCGCCGCGGCAAGCACAGCATGATACGGCCCCAGCGCAATCAGAGCCTCAGTTGCAGAATCCTCCGTCCTGCCTACAAACTCAGATGCGCCCAGCGATTTGACCAGCGCGGCATTCGATCCGGAAGCCACGCCCACGACCGAGTACCCGGCGCTGGCGGCTATCTGGACGGCAGCGGCGCCGAACGAGGAGGATGCTCCCCAGATTAGGATCTTTTTTGACCTATTGAGTGGATCGGGAGCAGGGCCAGGCCTATCTAGGTTCAGATGGAGAAGAAGTGCACTAATTGCGCCGTAGAAGTTGGAGGCGAGCGCGGCCGATTTCTCGAAAGAAGCTTCGCCGATCTAATGCAGATGGTATTAGGCGACGGCGAGCTACCAGGGCAAAAAAAGAAAGGGTCGGATAATCGATACCTTTGCCGTCAGCTGTTGTGTAGTGAGCGCATATTTCTGCAGGGCTCCGAAGCGCGCGTCGTTACGCAATGTTCCTGCACTGTTCGTCACGACTCTGTCTCCTATCTGGAAACGAGTGACGCCGGGGCCAGTCTTGACTACCCTTCCAGCGAAGCACACTGCTTTACAATCAGCAAGCCACTTTTGTGCGCAGACGTATTTTGGGGCCACCACGAACAGCCAATTATTGTGGGGTATGTCAACGGGAATGGAAGGACACCATCCTGTATTTTGTATTCGGCTGGTTGAACAGCGACAGCTTCGGTCTGGGGAGGTGATCTTCTTAACCTTGTGGCGAGGCTCACATGTCTTGTACATCGCCTACCTGGATGAGGAGCTCATCTTGCCCCGGTTCAGAGATAGGTGCCGGGCGGAGCTCTAATTTCGCCCCGACAGCAGGAAGCCACGCCGCGATATTATGCCTGTCTGACATTGTTGGTGAGAAATGGATGGGAAGTACGGAAGAGTGACTGAGAATAGGTGGCAAAAGATAAGACTTGAAGAATCCAACTGTATCTCTGTCATGGCCAGTGTTTATTCCCTTTTATACCCCTCTGTTTTCGTTTTAAGTTTGCTTACTTCGTCGTCAGGAATTCACTGACACAAGTTACAGTATTTTGTCAGCGATCTAGACCGCGGAGGGTCAAACTATCATACCCGTTCAAAAGTATCTTCCCACTCCACTTTTTCGGGTCCCCTCTCAAAATATATATATCACTTACACAGTATATAGCACTACCATTTTATGGTCTATAATAATATAATTAAATTTCAGGGTTGCTTAATATTTTGTATAATACCCCTTAGCCTTCCGCACTGCCTTCAAACGTCTTCCTATGCTCAATATCAGCGCATCTATCTTTGCTTGATCTAATGCCTTCTAAGCTTCCACTAGGCATTTTTTTTTTAAAATAATGCTAGTCTGCCTCCGATCTTTCTATGCCAATAAGCTCCGGAAATAATGCAAAAAGCTTCACTTTTAACTCACTAATAGTCAAAACAAGCACCCCAACACGGAGCTCTCGATATGGACCAGGACTTCAATCTTACGGTTTCTCTGAGATCTTCCATATTCTACAATACCTATTCTCTTACATAGCGCCCAGAAATATAAATTATTTGACCTTTGTGTGTTTGATTCACCTCTATGGTCGTCTATATAAGAGGCAAGTGGACTGCAGATCTTCTATTCTGGTAATAGCATCCACTATTTGACAACAGAGGTATATGCTAACACTCATCAACTCCAGATGCCCTTCTACAAGCTATCGGGGTCTCAGCCACCTACCGGAATATATACCTATAGTTTACCATGTCATTATTTCTCGAGTACCACACTCTCAATTCTATACGCATGAAGGTAAGTCGTGAATCCTTCTAGTGAGGCATACAATAAGGTTAAATAAGACTGAGATAAGAGCCATGAAGAAATTTGGATCCTTACCTCCTTGATATCATTGTGATCTTATCTTAAAGGAGTGAGTCTACAGTTTTTAGAAGCCACTACAAAATTACAAGTTGCATAGGAACAATTAACGAGCAAAAGGAAACTTGCATTGGTAATCGTACATGCGGGTATCTCGAAATTGAAGGCCAAATGGCCGAATCCTCCCTTCTCCCTGGCCTCAATCCTCTCCGTGGTCAGTCTGATCCACCCCATCTTCATGAGATGAGGGTGTCGCGGGACCCCGCAGAACCAAACGCGTGAGAGGTGGAGTGGGTGTCCCGGGCTCCTCCCGCTTCAGGGGAAGGTGCTCAGCTGGCACAGGGGGCACCTCAGGCACGGCAGCCTTAGCGGCAGTTCTCGGGGTCTTGGGACGACCCGACTGCCGGCGAGAAGTGGCCCCCTTAGATCTCGGAGTGCACAGTGGACGCGCAGGCGGTGTAGAGGGCAAAGGAGGAGTGGGTGTTTTGGAAGCTCGCGAGCGGAGGCGGGTTGCTGTCAGGAGGTCCTCGGAAGGGGTTGTATCCCCAAGATTTCCAGTCTTTCGACGTGAGATGCGAGGCTTCGGAAGGTCTGCTGCGGAGTAGCTTGTTGTGCGGATATCGGATGGAATGATGAGCTTCGAGAGCTCATGGGTTGCCACAGCACAGCTGACCTCAGGTAGGTCATCCCCACCAGACTTGCGGTCTTGACTAGAGGCCGCAAGCCGAGAAGAGGATGCGACTGTGGGACTCAAGAATCCTCGAGGCTTAGATGGGCCGGCTATGGTGCTCTCGAGATCTCTCATACTGGCAGAGGACCACCATGCGGGGTCGTAAGAATAAGCAGCACCGGGCCCATTTTCATCATTCAAGCCAGCCAGGTGGCCCAGAACACCGGTGTACAGAGCACGTTGGCTGTATCCTCCCTCAAGAACACTGATGATACGACCGTCCACGCCAAGGTCTTTCTCCTGGGCCATGCGAACAATGTCGGCGGTGAACCTGGCATAGAACTCAGTGGGCACTTTTTTGGACTTGCGGTTCAAATTCGAGTTCTCCCATTCACTAGCATCGAAGCCAGCTGAGATGAAAATAGCGCCCTTGGGTGGACGGCCTCCGGAGTCTTGAGCAACCTGCTTTGAGAACCGGCGCAAGAAAGAGCGGGTCTTGGTGATCAATATCGAATACTTGTTTTCGTACAGTTCCCAGAACTCTGATTCCTTTTTCCACTCATCCAAGTGCACATTCCAGATGGACCTGTCAGCTGTTTCAATGCAAGTGCTAGCACCGGTCGTTTTTATAAGATTGCCATCCTCACAAGGGAAGGATTCGATATCGTGAAGACTGACATAGCTGATTGGGGTTGCTTCGTATGGCGAAAGAGGCGGAGGCTGTCTTCTTTTGATGTTATTTGCTGCCAGCTTTTTAAATTTGTGATCTTGCTGCCGGGCGCTGTGCTTCCAGACAATGTCTTGAGAACCATCTCCATGGTGAAGGTCAAAATCGATAATCGCAGCATGGGTGAGTCCGTAGTTGATGACTGCGTGAGAAATACCGACATGAACATTGTTGATCCAGCAAAACCCAGAGGGCCAGTCCGAGGTACAATGATGGCCAGGAGGTCTAATGCAGACGAAAGCCCGCTCCACTGGACCAGGTCCAAGGACAGCGTCGACGCCATCGCATACACCACCCAATGCACCTTGAATTGCATTCAAGGAGTCGGGGCCGAGGTAAAGATCACCAGAGTGCAGTTCATCGCCCATTGGGACGACCTTTTCATGCTGAACGGTGTAAGATCGGGCAAGTTCGTCGGCACCCATGGCAAGTTTCGACTCAGCGCGATTGCATATGTCCTTGAATTCAGACATCCACGAGAAACCATGTACTTCTGTAACAGTTGGACTCTGAATGGCCAACTTGCGATCTGTCTTGCGGATATTGAAGGGCACTGGCAGTGTACGGACGTCGAGCGTTGGACTGGGAGCATATCGTTCTCCCGCATATCGTTGACCGAGGCGAACATACGCCGCAGCGATACCAAGAGCACTGGAGCGAATCCGTTCTGGTCTTTCAACGATATCTTGCAAGTACTGGTCCGTGTATCCGAGGCGAGAAAAGAGGTGCCCATAACATGCGTCATGGACCAGAGCGATTGTTTTGGTTGGGATGTCAGTGGATTGGTGTAAGCCCCATTCTTGGGTAAACAGCTCTGCCGCAATAGACGCAGCCGTTGGAACTGGTGGCTCCACGTTAGGATCAAAGGCTAGTGCCGGCGGGAGCATGCTGAGTGGCGTGGCAGTCACAGGTGACGCCGCGAGATTGATTGAACTGCGGCGAGGGGTCTGCGGAGTCGGCGATGAAGACTTGTAAGGCTGTGAGACCACGCGCAAAGAAGCAGCCGACTTGCGCTTTTGTAGTGCAGGAACAGGAACAGGAACAGGCTTGCGGTGTTCTTCTTGAGGGGGAACAGCATCGGCAGTAGAAACAAAGCTCGCACTTGTAGTTCGCGATGTGTGGGGGAGTTGCGAGAGCGAGACATTCTGGGCAGACAAGACAGGTGAAGTTGGCAACGGAGTGGTGATGGCTGTCGCGAGAGTCATGCGATTCAAAGAGTCTACCAATTCACAATGGGATTCTAATGAGGCTCCATTGTTGACCCCGTCTCCAAATGGAGGCGGGTCCTTGAGCGGGTCCATTCTGAGACGCGCCAAGGGCAGATCCCAGTTCCTGCGTAGGTATGGTCAGAATGTGACGAGATGATCGAAGGTGAAGGGACAAGACGAACAAGACGGATAATACGCGACGAGATGATACGCAGGAGGACGCGAGGTTGTAGGAAGAAAGTAGGAAGAAAGGGAGTGGGGGGTGATTCACATGTTTTGGTTCAGATACGGAAGGAGGTCAGCCGATCGGCGAACTACATTCTTCATCTGCTGTGAGATCAAATGTCTTACACGGATATGTGGCATTTATACACGCTTTATAGGCCTACCAGAATGTTCTCACTACGGATATCAGTACGGATACCACTACGCATAACAACACGAATATCAATACGGATATAATTACGACAAATGCGTACAATATCGCAATAGATCTGATTGACTGGACAATAAAGGTTATGTCCAAACCATCTGCCATCGCCTATTGTGCCTATTGACCCCCAACCCAAGACTTGCCTGATAGACAATAGCACTGCTAACCACAAGATCAGGATATACGCAATGAGATCTGCTGCATGGTATTGGACTACCAATCCATTTTGTCTAATAGAACACCCCAAAGAAGAATAGAAACAAATCAAAGTCTCATAAAAATCATAACACCAATAAGCGCCATAGATCTTGGAATCTCATTATCCCAAGAAACCGACAAAGACCACCAAAACACCAAAGCTGTAAAGTCATACATGTACAAAGAGATCTTAAAACTGACACTCCTTCAGTGAGATCGCAAGCTCCGCCATTGATACCACTGGAACCAGCGGCGTCCAAAGGAAGTCTTCTCATCCATAGAATCCTGAGAGCGGCGCCCGGCCTTGTTCTCCTCCTTCCGTGTCTGTTTTTCGGATTTGAAGCCCTGTGTAGCGTGACCATTGCAGAAGCAGTGCATGTGGACAGTTTCAATGCTAACGCCCGGGCAGCTGTTGCGACGGTAGCCGGCGCATACGCTCTGCCCGGCGTCTTCTTCGCATTGGCACCATTCGTAGAGTGTGAAGTATTGGCGGCACATTGTGGTGAAGTATGTGCTTTTCTACTGGCCGTTGTGTGTTGTTCTTTTTTGTTGTTGTTTGGGAATGACTGGTTCCCTGGTTCCCACGATGTGTTTGCACGAGATGATGGATATTGGTATGGATATGCCGGATGTTTCGGTCCGTGATGTTGTGTGTGATTTCGAAATGCGAGTCGAGTGGGTCGACTATGCGGTCAAAGAGGTGTGGATGCCAATGCAAATATCATATATTGACAATGGCTGGAGCTCGGTGATTTTTCGAGATATTGGGCCTGAATAAAAGGCAGGGAGGTGTGTAGTATGGAAGAGGCGGACGGATATGACTCGTATTCAGTCCAGCTGAGTAGAGACGAGTAGGTAAGGGAAAGATGAGGAAGATGCAGGAAAGTAGGTGAGAAGTAGTAAGCTTAAGTTCTAGATCAGATCTATATGTACCCGGATGTGGACTGTCATGATGAGTGAACTCAGGTCATGAATGGGAACCATGGCTATTGATTGGTCTGACGTCAAAGAAATCCTTATTTTCTTTTCTACTTCTTCCGAATTACTATTGGGGCCATGCAGAGGGCTGCATCTTACCCCATCCGTCGGCCAATAGGTTACATCTGACACAGCGAACCAGGTCGTATTCTGGTCCGGCGCGAATTTTCTGGCACTATTTTAGAAGGCATTAGGCATCTAATTACACAGTGCAGCTTGGCAAGCGCTTTGATGGGGCTGTACAGTAATAAAAATGGCCTTGTGTCTTGGCCGACAAAGCAAACTACAAAGCGAGACCGGAAAAAGAAAAAAACCACAGGCGCCTATGCGTTTCGACAGGTTCGACAAGGTCCAAAATAAGGCTTGCAGAAGCCCATAAAAATAGAGAACACAGTTTAAAACTCAACGACAATATGAGCCCTGAAAGGCTGAGAGGAGCTCCGCCTGGTGCCGGTGCTCCATAGGGTTTGCTCCATAGGACCTCTTTTCCGAGCATGCAGATCAGTGATTGGACCTCTACCTGTTAGACTTGCCGCCAGGATCCCGGGATAGTCTGCTGCGATATGTATCGTCTAGCGCCGTAAAATCGGGGTATCGGGGTTTGACAATCCTGCCGTCGCGTGGGTCAGATCGGATGATCTCACCGTGCGGATCGAAGATGCAAGCGGAAGATGTGAAGAGAGAGAGAGATCTGTGGCGGTGTCGAGACGTCAAGGTCACGTGTGACGGCCATCTCCGAATTGCTGCCTGAGGCGGAAACACTTCTATAGCTCGGGATTTTATTTACCAAGCTGTACACACTCCCAAGTGAGCAGCAACGAGAACAAACACACTCTCCAGTTAAACCACGCACACATACACCCAACTACACAAACCACCAAGACCACCCTGAAATGACCACCGAAACCCCACAACAATCTCCCCACATGGCAATTGCAACAGCAACACCAGCCCGAACCTCCGCCCTCCTCGCAAACCTAAGCGCAGTAACAGCCCGAATCAGCGCAGCGGCAGCAAAAGCCCCAAACCCCTCCAAACCAGTCAGACTAGTAGCAGTCTCAAAGCTCAAACCCGCATCCGACGCGCTAGCACTACACCAAGCACCAGCGCCAGTCTCACAAGCGCACTTCGGCGAGAACTACATCCAAGAACTGCTTGAGAAATCCCGCCTCCTGCCCCCGACTATTAAATGGCATTTCATTGGCGGGTTGCAGTCTAATAAGTGTGTCATGCTTGCGCGTGATGTGCGTGGGTTGTGGGCTGTTGAGAGTGTTGATACGGAGAAGAAGGCTGGGTTGCTTGATAAGGGGTGGGGGGAGAGGGATGTTGCGAAGCTTGGTCGGCAAGATGACGATGGTGCTGATGGCAGACTGCGCGTCTATGTGCAGGTTAACACATCCGGAGAAGAGAATAAGTCGGGCATTGAACCTGCTGCGGCGGCGGGATTGTGTTCTTTTATTCGAGAGAAGTGTCCTCGGTTGAAATTGCAGGGTGTTATGACTATTGGGGCGATTGCTAGGTCGAGGGATACGACTGCAGAGAATGAGAATGAGGATTTTGTCTGTTTGCGTGAGACCAGGGATCGGATTGTTCAGGAGCTTGGGTTGACGGGTGCTGAGGCGGAGTTGGAGCTTAGTATGGGAATGAGTTCTGATTTTGAGGGGGCTATTGCTCTTGGGAGTGATCAGGTTCGGGTTGGGACTACTATCTTTGGGGATCGGCCGCCTAAGGCTGAGGCTAGGGTTGTTTGAGTTTGGACTGCATTACGGGGTTTATGAGTTACGATTTTTGTTTTGCATTTTTTTTACCCTTTGCATGAAAGAAGGGAGCATGGGGATAAGGTCCTACTGTAGTATACTGTTTACCAATTTTAGTGGAAGGTTTATACAAGAAAAGAACGAGCTCCAATTCGAAGAACGCTCGCTGGTATTTGACTGGGGAATCCAATTAGAGATATACATGAATAGCTCGAACCCAGCCGCAGATGCAAATGCATTACGAGTCGAACTCGTCTCCTCTTATTCCCTGCGACAACCTCTGTTCCATCTGTCTCACGAGGAACTGCGGGACCTGTTCCTGAGTAGCACGGATCGTGACACGATACATCTGAGGTAGAGTTAGTAAGATGATACATTACAGTTAGAAGAACAGCAAAGGGAATAGTAGTACATACCGACTTCTCATAGTTGGGCTCCAGCCGGAGCAGACAGCCGGTCTTACCACCCTCGAATTGGAATACCGAACATCCAACGATGTTCTGAGAGTTTGGATCGACACCGTCCAAGATTTTGAACGATAAGCCCTCGACAATCCTGCGAGTAAATGCCTCGTTGATCGACTTGTTTTTGCCTGTTAACCCAAAAGTCTTCTGTGACTCCAGCGGGTGCCCGCCAATCTGGCGCCATCGCTTGAAGAATTCTTCAGCTGACAGCGCTGAGGATTCCATGTAGCGATGCATCAAGACAGGTAGCTGGAGCGTATATGCTTGCAGCGCACCGGCCAGGTATGAGATACGAATTGTAGGCGCATCCGTGAAAGGGCCATGTGCAGTGCAGAACAGAGTCAGCTGTGTCTGCCCGGAAGCTGCCACTGTTGGCTCTGGCAGGTTCTTGGTGTCGACCTTCAGGTTGGGAGAGGCGGGGTTGTCGACTGTTGTGGTAAGGGACCCGATAGGGTATGTGGACTTGTTTGAGATGTACAATTTGACTACACCCATAGGACCCCGGTACTCTGACCGCAGTCCGACCTGGATCTGGGCATCTTCGAAAAGAACTCCCTCGCGGGAGAAAAACAGGCGGTTGTAGCCAATGTCCCATTCGGGGGTCAGATGAGCGGCACTTGCCATGTTTGGTGCTGGGCCCGAAGGACTGCTGAGATCCAGGCCTGCCAAGTCGCCCGATGCACTTGAACCGGTTGCGTTGGTGGGGGTACCATTAGACCCAGTTCGCGTGCCATGGACGATGGTTGTGAAGGTGCGCTTGAGACCGGTGTTCTGTGCAAGGAGCATTTCCTGTTTGTCTGCATTGGCATCCTTGCCACCAATAACCCAAGCCTTCCTTTCACTAGCACCGGCTGTCTTCTGATGCAGCCGAGAGAGTAGAATGGAAGCCCGCTCGGAGAAGGGAGGCATCTCGTCGCAGACTGTTCGGAGCAGATCGTCTGTGGGGAGGGTCGCCAGCGACAGGTATTCAAATGCTCGCTGTTGCAGTTCAGAATCGGGAGAGTGGCTGTACAGGCGGAAGATTTGCAAAAGCTGAGGTTTGATTTCGGGAAACAGGTTCACAAACTTGACAAACGATGACAGGATCATGGCCCGCGCATTGTCAGAGCTGGAGAACATCTTGGCCTGCAGGGCCAGGAACTGCTCAATAGGGCTTGAGCCTGCGTTTTCGGCGATAAGGTGACCGAACTCGCCCAAGACGTAGCAGCCAATCTTCACCAAACTTTCGTGGCAATCGCTCTTCATGTAGTTTAAGAGAGTGTGTGCTGCGTACGCTTGTAACTCTTCGTTGTTTGTAACGATTTGAATCACTCGTTGCCACACTTCGTCGTTGACATGTTCACCTGCCAGTGAAAGCAGTTTCAATGTCATATCGATGTACCACTGTGCATCTGAGGCGTATTTCTCGGTAAGAATGGCAACCTTCAACACCATTTCCTCTCGAATGGCGTAGTCTGCAGTCTGCAGGTATCGCAAGAGTTCATTGACAATCGGGCCGGCATTACTGGTATCACACATGCTGTACAACAGGTCCAATCCTTTACGTCGGACACTGATGTCACGGTCTCGAAGCGAGCCCAAGATAATGTTCTGGTGCTTTTTAATCGGGTCAAGTGTTTCAGCTCGAGCGGCAAAATGACTCAAAGCGTCCAGACCGAGGTATCGAACGTTGGTCTCGCGAGACTGGATGTATTTGCCCAGGCGGGAGGAGATCTGTAGCATAAGGTTGTGCTCAGAGTCGAGGTGGATGAGGAGGTTGATGGCTTCGAATAGAATTGCATTCTGAGCATTGTTCTGCTGAACATTCTTAGGTGTTTCCATTGCAGCTTGCATCATCTGAGATAGAGACTCTCGGATGATCTGGCGAACATGACTGTCCTCTGTTATAAAAGGTGAGCAACTGAGCAAAAATTGCAAATTGACTGGTCTTACCTGACGGAGGATAGTACTGCAACAGGCGCAGGAACTTGACCTGGATCCATGGGCATGGAACACGGTAGTAGAGGTAATCTGGGGCAATATCATTGTCGACCACGATCCTCTTCAACCGCTGTGCAGCCTTGACATAGCAACCCTTGTATTCCTCTGGCATGTCCTGTGCCAGCGCCATAACCAAAGAGGTAACAGAGAGAGTAACACCCATGTCGGGGTCATCCATAATTGAAATAATTCTCTCAGCCCACTCGTTCCGAACAATACCCGGGTACTTGCGGTACAACCGGAGTAACGTTAAAGCAGCCTTCTTCTTGACAAAAGCCTTGGAAGTCCTAAAAAAACAGTCAGAAACCTAGCAAACCAGGGATCAGATATTGGAACTCACGGCGAGATCAAAAGTCTGTGGACCTCTGTCCCAAGAGCCTCTCCCAGCTCCTTACCACCAACATTAGCTACAGCATGCAATGCCAAGCAGTTATTCAATTCATGATGATCAAGCAGATCCTTCCGAATACTGTTAACAACCAGATGAAGCAGCTCATGCTCTTCATGCAAGAACAACGTAACAGCCAAGTATCCAATCTGCTTCTCAGAGTACTTAGTGGACGAAATCAAGTTAACAGCCTCAAGGTGACCGAAATCAACATCATAGCCCTGGATGTAGACATAGAGCAACTTGCAAACGTATTTTTTCTTCTGGTAGCCGTTCAAATTCCCAGACTTGAATTTCTGTCGGATATTGGCAAGCTCCTTGTTCACGCGCTTTTCTTCCAGTTCGCGCGCACGGGCGTTGCGCAGATCGGCAATGAACTGCACCAGCCCTCGCATCGACGACATGATTGCGGCTTGTGTTTGTAGGTATTGGACCGTCTCGCTATGTAGCCACGAATTTAGATACGAGTGACCGTGATAAGGGCGGTATGGTGGGGTTCAGTTCGAAGGTCGCCCGCGCATGCCACGCGGGATTATCGCCTCAGGGGGTTCGCGATCGGAGGCTCAACGTCACACAACCATGTCCCGGTTACGATGGCAGTTCGGCTAGTGGGCATTGGCCATGCAGGTGATTTGGGAGGGATTCGGAAGGGCTTGTTGGAGCTCGGCGGAAAACAGGGGGTTGAGGTTATGGGAGGGTTCCTGGGATGCTGGTCAGCCGCTGGTGGGACCCGAAGCCACGGATTTGAGCTGGGGTGACAACGTACAAAACAGCCAGTTTAGTGACCCCAGGAGAAATAGGTGAGCAGCAGAGGTGATGAGTCCATCCCCATAAACTTGTCTTTCCTGGGTCACTTCCGCTGTCGATCAGCCAGAGTTCCGCTGTGGCGGTGGTTTCGGAATAATGTTTGGGCGGTGGCTGTGCTGGGAGTATTACTTGCACTCTACAGATCCCTGATCATAATGATTCCGTCAAATGAAAGATGTACGCAGATGCTATAGCGAGGGGTTATGCCCTATTGTGATATTCAGCTCAACCATTCCATTGCTCATCCGCGCACCTCAGAGGAACAAGCTTTTATGAGGCTCGAAATGTACCTATTTTAAGCACGTTCCTATTTAAAAGCCACCCAATCCATTTACATATCCTCTAGGATCCTTAAATTGAATCTGACTCGAATTACCATCTCTGCATAGGTTTTTACTTAAATATTCAGTCAAACAAAAAGAATTAATCTCTCATTTCGTATCTCGTGAGTATCAAACCCCCAAAGCAACTATATGAATGCCCGAACCCAAGACTCCACCAATCCCGCAACAGCAAGGAAAGGAAATGCAACTGGATGGAGACAGCACATCAACCATCAAGCAATAAAAGATAAAACAAAGACCAGATGATTTCTCATCTAAGAGCGGGTAGTGAAATCAACCTCAAGGGCAGACTCGATGCCAGCAACCTTCTCACAGGTGCAGGAAGCTAAAGAAGCAAAGTTAGCAAATCTCATCTACCGATAGTTATGGAGATAGTAGAACAAAACATACCCTGAGGACGGCTGCCGCAAGCACAAGTCTCGCCAGAGATGGCCGCGTTCTCACTGACGGAGCGCTCACAGGTGCACTGGCCAGCGGGGCGGGCGCCTATTTGCATGTTAGTATAGACATCTCTGCAGGAAAATAAAGGTGACTTACGGCAAGAGCAGCGCGGACCGGTCACGGCGTTCTCGGAGGAAGCCTTGTTGCAGCTGCAGTGGAGAGCGCTCTGCTGGCCGCAGGAGCACTTGGCCTGAGCGGCGCAGACACAGCTGCCGTCCTGGGAGGTCTTGCAGCAAGTAGTGGCGGGGTGGACCATGTTGGCGGGTTGGGTGATCAGATGATGAATTTGCAAAGCTGCAACTTTCTATGAGTTGGAGAATTGAGGAGTGAAGATTCAAAGATCTGGAGGCTTTAAATAAGATGAGAAAATGAAAAGAAGATACGTCCTGCTTCTCTCTTATTTATACTGGCTGGATGCGTCAGAGTCAAAGATGGTTGTTAATGACTGTGCTCTGATTGGCTAGCATGGATGGAATCACGTGGTCATATTGTTCATTTGCAGGCTGCTGGTTGGCCGCACTTGGTACACTTCAAATACTCGCCACTTGAGTGGCCAGAGACTGCGGCCTG